TAAATGGAGGTGCACACAGTGGGGGTGAGGCTGGCGGCCACTCTGCGCAGCTTCCACCAGGATTCTTGCATGTGTACCACAAGGGCGGGGCCTGGTGACTGCTGCATGTGGCCTGGAGGCGGGGCAACAGGGTGGCACTCCAGGACTGGGGCCATCCCATGGCACTCCAGCCTTGCCGTGCGGGACTCTGGTACTCGGGGCAGTCCCATGGCGTGGGGGGTGGAGGGTCCCGGGTCTCACGCAATTTCTCACTAGTGTGTGTGTGTGTGTGTGTGTGTGTGTGTAACATATTTTTAAGGATTGAGGTTGTCTTAATTCACGATTACAACAATCCTATATAATAAAGAGGTAATATGCAAATTGCCCATCACTCCAACATACAAGATGGCTGCTCCCATGTGGTCAAAGATGGCCACCCCCCATGTAGACACAAAATGGCCAGCAGGAGAAAGCAGTTGTGGGCGATCAGGCCAGCAGGGGAGGTCAGTTGGAGGAGGAGGGGGACCAGGCCTGTAGGGGAGGGCAGTTGGAAGCCACCAGGTCTGCATGGGAGGGCAGTTGCGGGGGAACCAGGCCTGAAGGGGAGGGCAGTTGGGGGTGACCAGGCTGGCAAGGGAGGGCAATTGGGGGTGACAGGGCTGGCAGGGGAGCAGTTGGGCATCGATCAGGTTGGCAGGGAAGTGGGTTAGAGGGTGATCAGGCTGGCAGGCAGAAGCAGTTAGGGGCAGGCAAGCGAGTTATTGGGAGCCAACAATCCTGGATTATGAGAGGGATCCCAGATTGGAGAGGGTGCGGGCTGGGCTGAGGGACACACACACACACACACACACACACACACTCCGTGCCTGAATTTTGTGCACCAAGCCTCAGGTCATAAAATAAAATCCTTGCCCAGAAGGCATGATTCAGTGGTTGAGCTTCCACCTATGAACCAGGAGGTCACGGTTCAAGTCCAGTTAGTGCATATGCCTGGGTTGCAGGCTCAATCCCCATTTGGAGTGTGCAGGAGGCAGCTGATCCATGATTCTTTCTCATCATTGATGTTTCTATCTTCCTCCCTTTCCTTCCTGCTCTGAAATCAATTAAAAAAAAAAAAACTTATAAAAAAATCCTATAAATTGTTTGCCTGATTAGGGTCTTTTCTAAGACTTATAGCTTCTCAGAAGTTACAGGTCAAAACAATTTGCTCTTCAGTATTTGTTGAATGAATACAAATGACTTTGATAAAGAAAGTACTGTTTTTATTCACTCCAGTTTCTTATCATTGAAGATAAACTTTAAAATATGCTATATCCTCTCCAACAGTTTTATCTTTATTGAAAAATGTCATGTTATTTTAAAAAAGATAATTTTCGTTTCTATTGAAACTTCTCACTGTTAAAATTTTGGGGCAAAATACAACTCTTTTCAACCAGATAGTCCTTCAAAATTGTTGAATCTATAGTTTTTTGTGTGTGTTCGACTCGGCAAGTATTTGTTGATTTTTCTACAGTGTTGATTTGTCACCCAAAAAGATGAATGTGACATGGCTTTAATCCTATTGGACATACATAGAAGCTTAACAATTATCAGCAAAACCTGCTTTTTAAACCCTGCATATGAACATAAGGCAGATTTTTCAGTTCATAGGATTTCAGCATATTGAGAGTTACTACTTAGGGCTCATTAGTTACCATTTGTAAACAGACTATTTTTCATATTTGGCTTCACAACCCGAAGGATCTTCATAGTTTACACTTCTGGATATGTCATTAGCAACACTTGCAGTGATTTAGAATCATCTGGAAATTTTTTTTAATTACTGATTCCTAGGCTTGCTTAAAGAGATGGTTTTATTTTGTCTAAAGAAAGACTCTAAGTAATAATACATTTTTAAAATGTATTTTTATTGATTTCAGGGAGGAAGGAAGAGCGAGAGAGAGAAAGAAACATCAATGATAAGAGAATTATTGGTCGGCTGTCTCCTGCTAGGGATCTGGCCTGCAACCAGGGCATATGCCCTTGATCAAAATCGAACCTGGGACCCTTCAATCCACAGGCAGATGGTCTATCCACTGAGCCAAACTAGCCAGGATGCAATAATACCTTTTTAAAAGTACCCATCTGATTTGAATGTACAGTGAGTGTTGAGAACCACTGCATTATTTTGCATCTTTTTTTTTAATTAGGTAAATAAAATGAAGGTCTTCTTAAATAATAGGACCAAAAAATTGCTTCCCTAATCCATGTAGTCTTTGAAAATCTATGAAACCTTTTCGTATAACTAACTGTTCATCTCATAGTATTTTGATCTTCCAGTTTAACAATGGGCTATAAGTTGTCTAAAATTAGTATTTCATTAATTTCCCCCTGGTATCCAAAGATGAAATGTGTTAGATAGTTTTGACAGGATAGCATGATGATTGAAAGTGCACCCTTGAATGAAATTACTTAACTTCTCTTTGCTTTAGTCTCCTTATCTTTGAAACTGGAATAGCAATAATAATGAACTCATAGGTTTATTGTGAAGATTAAGTGAATTAATACATATAAAATCCTAGAGCAGTACCTGGCTCATTATTTCTGAATATTTGGGGGCAGAGAATACTCATAAACTTGAATATTAATAGTAATTCATTAGAAGATTATTTGCAGTTTTTCTCCATTTAGTTTTAAGTTATTATATGTCTGCCTATTTTTATTTAATTAAATGAAACTGATTATTAAATATTGATGAATAAAGAGAGAAAGTTAAATGAACATTTTTCTTTCATAGAATCGACGGACTGTGGCTTCTATTAAGAATGACCCTCCTCCAAGAGATAACAGAGGTAAAGTAAAAAATTATTAATTTTGCCTATTGGCCCTGACAAGGTAAATCAAAACTAAATATTACCCTTGAACCATTGTTCTCAGTCTGCTGAGATTCTGCTCCCAAGCATGTCCTGTTTAGCTCAAATAAATTCTAATAAAGTAATAAAAATGTTCTTTAAAAAAGGCAAATATTACTGTTGGCTTTATTATTTATTTAAACTTTACATGGGTTATTTTAAGATGGTATCTTCTTGATTTTCTAATATAATGTTGATAATATAAAAATTATTTATAAATTTACAAAACTCCATGATATATGCAATATTTGATTCATCTCATTTGCCCAATAGTTTTTCGGATTTGATAGTGTTGTGATAAAGAAGGGAATGGGGAAGTAGTCTGTTGGTTAATTTCACAAAATTTTGACATTTTATATAATTTTTTGGCTAACAGGTTTCCAAAAGGGGTCATGGGTATCTTTGGAGTCAACTTAAAAAAAAAGTGGAACAGGTATAAATTTCAGTTAATGGCAGGTCTTCCATATATTTTCAGCCAGGAAATGTAAAGCATAGTTAATTTCTTGTTTACTATTCAGCAGTTCAGAATGGTACTTTCTTAATAGTGATGTTTCTCTGTATGGATGGATGAGGAAGGATGGGCATAGGTATTAGAGAAGAGATCAGAAGTAGAGGTAAAGTTCAGTACTATGCAGTTGTGAAAATTTATATATCTTTGTAAAATGTGACATTATACTTAATTAATAATGCCTTTCCACATTTATAACATTTACAGTAAGAAACTGCTAAAGATATTTATATTTGTGCAGCAAATAATTGGATTTGGAATATAGGGAGGGTTAAAGGACTTAAGTTTTTACTTTCCATAGTTCTGGAGTATTCAAAATGAGAATGCATTTAAAATTTATATTTTGTACACTAATATTTTTAAATGATTATTAAAAATTAAAGTTGGCTTTGATTTTTATACAAATTATTCCAGTTGAGTTTTATAATTAAAACTACATTGGTGGCACTTAAGCCTGCACATATTATACCAAAAACCTCTTAGCTTATCAGTTTATTGAATAAAATTATTACGTTTTCTGTTAATGTGCACATAAGTAGAAAAACTGACAATTTGCTAATGCAACTTTTAAGTTATCAGTTCTTTTCAGTTACCTCTGTTCCTTTAACCAAGGTTCACCTTTATTAATTTTCTGTTCTGAATTTAAAATTTTTGTTCTACTTACAGTGGTTGGTTCTGCACGTGCACGGCCTAGTCAGCTTCCCGAACAGTCTTCTTCTGCACAACAGAATGGTAGTATTTCAGATATATCTCCAGTTCAAGCTGCAAAAAAGGAATTTGGACCTCCTTGTATGTAAATCATGTATCAAGGATTCAGTCATTTTAGGCATACATGTATTCTCTCTTGGTCATCTTTATATATCCCCAAATGGTAAACAACCTAATTGCAAACTTGATTGCCAGATTTCATTTTACCACTGTGGAAAAATTTTTTTCTAGTTAGTTTAGTCTATTGGGTTTTTAAAATATATATATATATTTTGGAGTAAACAATTCTTACTACTATAAAATTGTAAGTATTTCAGTTGCTTTGAATTTAAAATTCTGGACAGATGATAATTTGGTATCTGTGATTCTAAACCAAGAGATGACATGTATCAATATGTTAGAGTCATTTTTCTTGACTCTTATTTGTATATTGTCCTGTTCCTAGTTTTGTTAAAGCAGCTCATTAACTAAAGTTCATGTAGTTGTTACAGGCATGCTTTGTCACTGTGTACTTTATTTTAGTTATGTGATTTAATTACACATAGCATTTTATGTTTAAGTATAATACTCTAAAAAGAAATCTACTACAGCTCATCTTTTTCTTTCAGCACGTAGAAAATCTAATTGTGTTAAAGAAGTAGAAAAATTACAAGAAAAACGAGAGAAAAGGAGACTACAACAGCAAGAACTTAGAGAAAAAAGAGCTCAGGTTTGTAACAGAAACATATTTTGTGTATGTACCAACTGAAGGTCATACTGTCAGTGTAAGTGAGTGACTTAGGAAAAAGTAGTTGAGGCATTCATTTAAAGATTTCAATATAGTCCTTTAATTGATATTGAGGAATAATATAAACTCTCGTGAAAATAAGTTATAACATTTATTTACTACATGTACTTTTCATGTTTTAGTGGGTATGTGTTAGTCCTAAAGTTTGTTCCATTTTTAATAAGATATTGTGTTATAGAATTCTATTATAAGAATAATAGGATTTTTGACTTTTTAAAAATATCTAAAACTATATTTAGAAGAACATTCAGTTAAAGTACATGATTACATTATAAATTTTATTATTTTCTCATGGGCAATAATAAGGTCAACATAACACATTGAAAGAGGGGAAGTTTCTTGTGTTTTGATTTATACTAGATATGAGAGTATATCTGTATTATGCCCCTCTTGTGTTTCCTTTAGGTGGTAGCAAAACTTTATTAGCAATGGGGAAATTGCATAGAAAATTGGTCTTTTATCTCTTTACAAGTCTGCTCACATTAAAAATTCTGTTATTATTTATAAAACTCCTCCTTTATGCTTATATGATATAATCAGAACTTGTTTCCTTTAATAAAATATCAAGATTTTTTTATTTTTTACTTAGGAGTATTCTCAAGTCTCCTTGAGGGCATTTGAAAACAATTTTTATTCATAAAGTTGTTGTGTTTGGGAATTGTAGAACCAACATAATCACCCTGAGTAAATCAGGTTCTATCTGAAGGTGATCTGAGAATGACCAGTTGGGTTAATACACAAAAGAGCTAGATCTGGGCTCTGGCAGCTCAGGACTAAGTGCAAGTAACAGTCACAGTGATTCTTTGGAGGCTCTTCAGGTTCTCTTCTGTCATTCAGTCTGCAATCTCAGTCCATTTGAGGGGGAATATTGGTGTTACAGCAGTGGCATTTAATAAGGAGCTTGATCCTGTACAGAAACTCTTCGTGGACAAGATTAGAGAATACAAAACTAAGCGACAGTCATCTGGAGGGCCTGTTGATGCTGGTCCAGAGTATCAGCAAGACATGGAGAGGGAGCTTTTAAAGCTTAAGCAAATGTATGGTAAGGTAGACATGAATATGTTCCCAGAGTTCAAATTTAAAGATCTCAAATTTGAAAACCTAGAAAAACCCCAGTACTAAAGAAATGTAAAATTTATCTGGTCATGTGTCCTAGATAAGTTGTATGACTGATCAAAAGTATCAGAAGAAACACACATTTCAACAACTGTCAAATGTTCTTTCATTCTGATTCCAAAGAAATTATTTGGTGATTTTGAAAAAAAAAAAAAAAAGAAAAAAAAAAAGAGCTAGATGTACTGATATTTAGCACAGATGCCACCTGGTGTCTCCTCTGGGTACTTCATAATATTTTCACATAGCTTTGTGGTATCTTAATTTGCACTTTACATAGTACTTCTCAATTGACATAGCTGGTTAATATTATTTCCTAGGAGTAAGTTTCATCAACAGTTTTTAAGTTTAATTATATTCCAAACAAATCTGCATATGGTATATGAAAAAAATATGATTTCTTGAGAATGTTCAATAATTTATTACTTACTCATGACTTGGAGAGGCTATTAACTATTGCTATTTACTATATGTTAATCTGCTTTTCCTCAGTTTTGAAGCAAAAATGTAAATTGCAGTTAAGTTTTTCTCCAGGGCTGAGTAACCAAAGAAAGAGAGGCTGCCAACTCCATCATTATATAAAGAGTTTATTGCCTGGTCATATGACTCAGTGGTTGAGTATCAACCTATGAACTAGGAGGTCATGGTTTGATTCCCAGTCAGGGCACATGTCGGGGTTGCAGGCTCAATACCTCATATGGGGCATGCAGGAGGCAGCCAATCAGTGATTCTCCCTCCTCACTGGTGTCTCTCTCCCTCCCTCCCTCCCTCCCTTTTTCTTTCCCTCTCTTCCTCCTTCTCCCTTCCTCTCTGAAATTAGTGAAAATACATACCTTTTTTTTTTTTTTTTTTTTTTAAAGCCTAATTATTAAGGGAACTTACATGTGAAGTGGCCTTGGGTCAGTGGCAAGGAGACATAGATATCCATCATGTGGCAGGCACTACGGAGTTATATAGGACAGGGCAGGATGGATAGGGTCCTGGGGTGGAACTTGCCCCAGTAGAGGGGAAAGTGCCTTACATACTTGCCCAATAAATCTACAATTTATTCTAAGCTATATTTCAGTGCTCAATTGGTTAGAGAAATCTGTTTCTGAGGGAATTTAAGGGGAGCTCTCTCTCTGGTTCATGTCTAAGCATCTATTTGTATCTAACAGGAGGGACAGCAGCAGTCAGGCAAGGTCAGGAAGTGGTAATGTCATAGAACAGTCTCTTCTCCATAGCAGTCAGTATCCAATAATTTGAATATCAAAATATTTTAAAAATTATCTTGGCTTTTGATTTTTTAAAATTCTATGTCTTATTGATTTGGAACTGTTTTACCATGCCATAGTTTTGTTTTGTTTTTTAAAGAGAGACAGCAAAACTAGAAAATGAATTTAAATTAATCCATATTTCTATTTTGCTGAATCTCACTGGATTAAGACTGGGAAGAAGAATCCAATTAAATGAATATTTCCAGAATTTCAGCTTTTCTAGAGATGAGTACTATTTATCTTTTGCTCCATTTTCTAGGATAATTAAGTTATATGTATAGCAGATGAATTTTTGAATTATGTCAAGGGTGATTTTAATAATGAATGTTTGGTTTAGAATTAGCAATGTGTATAGATCTACAAAATTGTATTTTTAATTTAAAAATGATTCTTGAGCATATGACTAGTCATAACTGAAACTAAATTATATCACGTTTTCAGTTTGAGTTGAACTAGGGTAAATGATAATCTATTAGTTTAATTTTAATTTTCAAACTATAGCACCAAAGCAACAAATGCTGTATTAACTATAATTATAATAAATGATGATTCTCTTTATCTTCTTGTAGGATGTTGATGCTACAAACCCGAATTATGAAATTATGTGTATGATCAGAGATTTTAGAGGAAGTCTGGATTATAGACCATTGACAACAGCAGATCCTGTAAGATTTTTTCATAAATCATTGTTCTGGAACTATACTGAAATAAAAACATGTTTGATACCAACTAAATGAATATTGTATTTACTAGATAAATTTTCCTTTCTTATGTGCTCATTCCCTACATTTTAAGAAAAATCAAGAAATCATCCACATTTATGCCTCTCTTCCATAATTGATTATATCAGACATGCTTCCCACAGAGATGTCTGTTTCAAAGCAAAGCCTTCCGTGTCTTTGGTAGGACAGAACAACAATTAAAGGAGTTATATGTCTGAACACCCAATTTCCTTTATTTCCTCTTTGGCTTGTGCTATAGATCCCACTGTCCAATTTATTTTAATGTTATTTTGGCTTTATAAGTGATGGTTGTTGAGAACTGCAATAGACCAGAAATTTAGTGCTCAAAAAGTTTTCTGTCCTATTACTCAATTCATTTCCTATTGAAGAATGAGAATTTATTGGACAGGGAATGTTTTTATAATTGGTAATTATGAAATAATCCATCTGACCTAGCATATACAGAATGTAATATTGGGTACACAAAACACATTTGTGTTCAGGAGGTGAATTATTTTGGATTTAATAGTTGTTCATAACATTTGCATCCCATATATTTGGGTACCTCTCCATGTGGGTACCCCTCCTTGCTGCTACCCTTACCTTTGTGTAACTTCCTGTTTCTGAGCTCAGACTTTAGGAAAGGGATTAGTAAAAACTTTTTCTGAAAAGGGTTTGGTGGCAAATATTTTTGACTTTATGAACCATATGATATGGTATTTGTGACAACTATTCAATTCTGCTTTTGTAGTATGAAAGCAGCCATAAATAACACACAAATGAATGGGGATGACTGTTCTAGTAAAACATTACAAAAGGAGGTAGTGGGCTGGGTTAATCCTGCAGGCCATGCTTTGCTAATCCATACATTATATTATTTATTTTTTAAAGGCAAGTATTAGGAACATAAATTTTATGAAAAATATTTATGTGTAAGAATATTCAAATTATTTTGCTCAATAATCTCCTCGGAATCATGTTTCTTGTCTATATAGTTATCTTTGCCAACAAGTTTCCCTATAATCTATCTGAAAATACACGAACTTGTTTTTGTTTTATACGGCACATCTTCAAGTTAATAAGGCAGCTTCTTAACATGAACTTAATGCTCTAAGAATAGTAGTGCCCTCTACAAGGTTATTTCTTAATGGTTTACCAAACAATAAAACAAATAAGGGAGTCTCTATTAAAATGTTTGCTGTTAATTTGTGTGTGTGTGTGTGGTTTTTTTAAAGCTTATTTATCCTATTTGTGCTAGTATAAATTTCCAAAATCTCTGAAGGAAATGTTGTATAATTGACTTTCATTGTTTTACATACCACTGATAATCACTGAAATATTTTTTTTTTCTAGATTGATGAACATAGGATATGTGTCTGTGTAAGGAAACGACCACTCAATAAAAAAGGTATGATGTTTATTGAGTTGTAATAAAGGTTGATTTTATCCTGTTTGTAAGAGCAGAAAATCAAATTGGTTAGGGACAGTTCATTGTACAAAAAATTATTTCATTTGTATATAACCTTTCTGCAGATTTCTATGGTTTATCTATTGATTTGTTACTGTTGTATGAAATGTTGCTATTTCTGGTTCTTGCTTCACAGAAATCTTAATTTTTTTTATTTTGTTATTGAAATATTCTGTCTTATTGAATGGGATATTTATGGGATATTTATATTTGAAGAACTCCTTACTCTTTTGTACATTAATTCAAAATCTGTAAAAGTTTCTGTGCATTGATTTTCATTTGTTCTTTTAGAAACTCAAATGAAAGATCTTGATGTAATCACAATCCCTAGTAAAGATGTTGTGATGGTACATGAACCAAAACAAAAGGTAGATTTAACACGGTACCTAGAAAACCAAACATTTCGTTTTGATTATGCCTTTGATGACTCAGCTCCTAATGAGATGGTTTACAGGTAGGTAAATTTGTTTTAAATTAAAATTTTGTTCTCACATCATGTGTTTATTATTACCCTGAAACATATTCATCTTGGCATATCTCTCCAGAGGTGTTACATGCTTTTGTATTCTGAGTTTAAACAAAGAAGAATATGTAATAAACATTGTAATAACTATTAACACTTGTTCTCTCTAGTGCTCTCCCAAATCATAGTTTCCATTGTTGATTAACTTATATACACATCACATAACATGTATATGGATAGGAAATTTATAAAAAATGTTGAAATTTTTGTGCCTCTGAGAATGGGAAGTAATTAGAGGAGGACTGTTATTTTCTTTTTAATTTCTATACTATAAGTAAATTTGAAATATTTAGATGTACCACAACTTCAGGGGGGGAAAAGTGCTGTAAATCTACTTGCATTTGTCTAATTTCTATTGTCTTTAAGCTTTGGGATAGTTTTAATACATGAAATTGTTGTATGTTAACATATTCAACTTATAAAGAGCTCAAATTTACATATATATAATGCACTGATATCTCAAATTGTTATGCCAAATTTGGATTTTCATATAGGCTTTGTAAACATTCACCTCTAATTATTATAACAGGTCAGTTTAACAGCTTTGTTATTTCAAACTGACAATTTATTCTAAGCTATATTTCAGTGCTCTTTTACTTGATAAATATGATTACAAACAGAAAATTAAAGAGTTACTAAGAGTTGTTCTGGAGAGGTAGCTCAATTGGTTAGAGCATCATCCAAATACGTAAGGTTTCAGGTTTGATCCCCTGTCAAGGCACATATAGGAAGCAACCAATGATTGCATAAATTAAGTGGGAAATCAATTGATGGTTCTCTCTCTTTCTCTCCCTCCCTCCTTCTCCCCTTTCTCTCGCTCTCTCTAAAATCAGTGAATTGATATATTTTTTAAGAAGAATTATTAAGTGTCTTAAGAATTGGAAACGTTAAACGATACAGTGTTGAAACCAACTTCATTGGTCTTAAGCTGGTAAACTAGAAGTTAAGCTGGTAAACTAGAAAGAGGACAAAATTAAAGGACAAGTGAATACTAGACAGTTTTTTAAGGGAATTAACAATTATAAACTATATTTTTTACTTTTTCTGAGAATATAGTCTATTTCTTCCCTCTTTTTCTCTTCTTTACTCTCATTCCTGTCTATAAAATATGTCTGCTTGCCTTTTATAGTAAT